AGTGTTGTGTGCATTGCTGTTATTGTACCAGCAGGGGGCACCTCAGATAGGAAAAAGATAACTGAAGGGAAAGTTTTAAAGAAAAGGTTTGATGTTGATAAATTACAGCTCTAAATTATAGCAAAAGAGAGTATGATTGTTGGAGTGATATTTTATGATTGTCAATTGTACTTAGAAACATATAATCGATTGCATAGTGTTATAATGTCTGATCCTTAGTAGTCTGCAAAGAGTCTGTGTGCTCTGGCATACCACACACATCCTAAGGTCATGAGAGAGGTCGTACCTCCTCTTTCTGAGACATAGTTTGGGAGGACACCTACTCTGTATCTGTTTGAGTACAAGGGCCCTTTGTTTAGGTGGACCACTGGACACCTGGCGCCAGCTTTGGGGAGTCGTTCTTCACACACACACATACCTACACGCACACCCAGACTGGTACTCTTTGTTCACATGTATGCCCGTTTAAGATGTCATATGTTAATGAAACCATGCATATTCATGTAACCACAATAAAAGGCAGTGCTACAGTGGAGCTGACCGAGAGTGACTGGGGTTCGAGCGGCAGGAACAGCGTTCGTCTCGGTCACGAGATCACACAAAGAGTTCAGCCTGGTGTCTTATGCTTTGCTAGTTGCAGTAAAATTGTCTCGGCTGTTCCAGCAATAGTTTTGTGTCAGCATAAACCTAACGATGATATTTCGTAATGGTGGAAAAAATGTAAAGGAAATAAATCACATCACATCCCGGCCAAACAGCAGAGTGATCTCTGCCGATAGCCACCGCCGTATTGCAATGTTACATAAAAGTTATATGTAACATTGTTATATATAATCACAATTGAATTGAAATGAACACATACTGTATTTTTCCCATATAGTTTCATATATTAAATTCAAATTCAAATTTTATTTGTCACATACACAGTCATACACAGCACGATATGCAGTGAAATGCTTAGACAACTGCTCGTGACCTAAAGAAAAAAAGAAAAGGCTATGAATAAGATAGGAAATAAATACGAAAATTAGAAAGGGTAAATTTAACTATGAAGGAATAAAATAAAATAAAAATTAAAGTTAAAAATGAAATAACTGTACAACACAAATTAGAATAAATGGTAAATTTAACTGGGAAAGAATAAGATAAAATATATAAGTTAAAGTTTAAAATAAAATAACTGTACAACAAAATACACAATACACAGTATAGAAATATATAAGAATGTATGAAGAAATATAAATATATATATATACACAGTAACAGCAGCTGTACAAGTATTAACTGGAAATGAAGAATATAACAGTTATCTACTGTGGGGGTAATAAATTCAAGTTTCACCCTGCACTTTTCCAAAAAATGTATTCCTTCAATGTAATTCCTTCTTTGCTGTCATTTATTTGCTTTCTATTAAGATTATTCTGATTCACAGCATCCTGGATTCTGTTTTGGGAGATCTGACCAGCAACTCTGCCGAGGGGACGGAGTACTTCAAGATGCTGGTGGCCGTGTTTGCGCCTGAGTTTCGCAGTGCAAAGAACATGCACCTGAGGAACTTCTACATGATTGTACCACCGCTGGTGAGTGCTGATGCTGTTTTGCTACATGTCATATTCTCTTCACTTGAAATTAGTTTGTACTTAATTACATTTATTGCAACAAATCTCACTCCTAGACGGTGAATTTTGTGGAGCACTCCATCAGCTGCAAAGAGAAACTCAACAAGAAAAACAAATCTGGAGCTGCTTTTACAGACGACGGCTTTGCAATGGGTGAGCAGGCAAACCTGATAGTACACACAGACATCCTTAATCCTTTCTTCTGTACTGGCCTTGGACGTACTCTCCTCTGTTTCTGCCTCCTCTCTCAGGTGTGGCGTACATTCTGAAGCTACTGGACCAGTATCTAGAGTTTGACTCTTTGCACTGGTTCCAGTCTGTCAGAGACAAGTACAAGAAAGAGATGAA